GGAACTAGTTAGAGGGGATAGTGGCAAAACACTGCAAATATACTAAATGCCACTGAATTGTACACTTTTAAATGGTTAATGGTTAATTTTATGTCATATGAAGTTTACCTCGATAAAACAACAACAAAACACTGAGAAAGGCTGACTAGGATCTGTTGAGGCTTCCTGAAGTGTGAGAGAGGAGATATGGCCTTGAAGGGAGTTGAAGATCTGAATTTAAAACAGAGGCAAGAATTGGTGGAGATGGCTCTAATGAGCATGTTTTTCCAAACTCTGATTATAACCACAATAACAAGCAGATTTTAGTGCAGCCCAGTTGACACACATACGTGACTGAAACAAAAGTTCGTGAAACAATACTTACTCTTCCCAAGCATAATACATTCTGATTTTTTATTCTATTCTACTCTATTCTATTTCTTTCTTTTTTTTTTTAAATGCTGGTCGTGATTCATTAAATTGATCTCACAGAGTTAAGTGGCAAACTCTAATGGCCTCTGGTGTTGGGTTAAGGGGTTTGGACCTGATACGTGTTATTTTAAGGCAACGGCATTAACCACTAAGAACATAACCAGGAATCTGTAGGCAGAATTTCAGATTGGGAAAACCCTCCACCCTGTAAATAAAGTGATTGTTTTATCATTATATTTGTCGTTGGGCTAAATTTAAATCCACTTATCTAACATCACATGATGAAGTCAATATGTATACTATGTATTACTCATGGTGTTTTTCTCTTTCAGTTGTTTATCATTTAAATCACTGGTAAATTTCCCAAAGAACAATTTTCCCGTAGTGCACCTTTTTGTAAGAGAGACAGAGATTCTGAATTTCTGTTTTATTTTACTGTTCTGAATTCAAATAATTTTTTTTCTTCTTAAGGAAACAGTTGCTTCATTATAAATTAGATGATGGACTATTTACAATAAACCCTCCTCCTAAGATGGCAAGGTAGCTTCATAAAAAACAGAAAGTGTGCTCCTCGTTATTCATTAGAGGCATTCAGGATCCGCTATACAACCATCTGTCCAAAATGCTGTAGAAAGCATTTTCAGCTTTGGCTAGAAATGTCCCTTTTAACTTGAACATCCTATCATTTTTGACAATATGCCTGAGATTTTCTGAGCTCAATACAAATGCAGCATGTAAATTGTTGGAAAAAGATACTGTGTGTCTGGAATTTAGCTGTGATCTTTCCCTAAGGTTTTCAATTAATTCACACCAAAATAATTTTAATGTCATCAGTGGTACAAATGCTTATATTTTAGAAAGCATAATATTTCTTCTATTTCAGAGATAAAAGTATAGGTTGCATATCACCTAGCCATGGACAGAAATCAATTTGTTCTCTGACTGACGACCAGCAGCAAATTAAGGGGGGTAAACAAGTTCCTTTTTAATTTTGAAGAAAAAGCAGTAAAAGTTAGCTTGTTATAATTTTAAACCAAACAGCCAGTAATTATGCTATCTCCAGGAGGCCAAGGTTTTTCACTTGATAATTGAATTCAGCAAGAAAGGCTCTGTAATGGCAGGGGGTGGGGGGGATAAAAAGGCCAGATTTTTCTTTACTGCCTTTCTGATCATTCTATGCCAGAGAGCATTCAATTTTTTAACTAACTACAAGTTTTTAAAATAAGACTAATTTTTTGGCAACACATAGTACATTTAGTACCAAGGCTAGTGTAACAATTTTTTAAATACAGCCACCTGATTTGGACACATATTAGGATACTCAATAAATAAATACTGACTTGTTGTATGATAGCCCAAGGTATGTAATAAATATACTGTTATTCCCTGATTCACAAACACATGCCTGCACACACTCCTATTGGTCTGAGGCATAGTGTAAACAAATAATTTTTTAAATACACTCACGAGTCTAGAAGCAGACCCACACACGTTTGGATACTTGATTTATGATAAAGGTAGCTCTGCAGAGAAGTGGAGAAAGGGTTAGCCTTTTCCAAAAATGTGCTAAAGACAAGACAACAGGCCCCAAATGGAGTCACTTATGCTAAGCCTCATGTCACCAAACTGAAACTTAACTTAGTTATAGTTTCAGCTTTTCCAGAAAGAATATTTTAAACCAGCCAATCAGGAATCGCCTGGTCAGCATTACTTAGGTAATCTGCCTGATAAACCTCTGCCATTCCCTATAAGGCAAGTAACCTTAGGATAATCAATCCAATTTTTGCCTAGTACAACTTCCTTGTTCCTGCTCCCTTCTGCCTATACAATCTCTTGCCTTATATAGCTCTTCGAAGCTCTTTTCTATCTGCTAGACTGGATGCTGCCTGATTCATGAATCACTGAATAAAGCCAATAAGATCTTTAAAATTTACTTGGTTGAATTTTGTCCTTTAACAAATGGTTCTGGGTCAACCGAATATCCATATAGCAAAAAAATACGACCTGACCCCCACCTCTTTTCATACACACATGCACAAATTTCTTCCCGTTAGATTATAGATCTAAATGTGAAAGGTAAAAACAACAAAATTTCCAGAAGATAACACAGGAAAACATCATCATGAACTTGGTATAAGGAACTATTTCTTAAACAGGAAATAAACAGACTAGAAGATATTTGCAACACATATATCATACAAAGGAGCCATATCCAAAATCTATATAGAACTCCTACAAATCACTAGGAAAAGGCAGGCAACCCAGTAGAAAATCAGACAAGAGCCAGGCACTACACAACAGACAATATCCAAATAACCAATAAATGTATGAAATGTGCTTAACTTCATTAGGAATCAGGGAAGCGCAGATGAAAACTACAGAGTTGCACTACATCCACTGACCAAAGTAACTAAAATCTAAGACTAACAGTATCAAGTGTTAGAAAGAATGTGGAGCAAGAGGAACATCAAATGCTGGTGGGAATTTAAATTGATATAATCACTTTGATAGTGTCTACTAAAGCTGAACATACGAATACCGTATGATCTAGCAATTGTACCACCAGACATGAACCAGAATAGCCACAGCAAACTATGCTTAATAAACCCAAACCAAATCTGTCAAGAGAAAAATGTGTATATAAATGACGTCACACTCATACAATGGAATACTATAGAGCAATGAAAATGTACAAACTACCTCGACAGACAGCCACATGAACAAATCACAATGTTGAGCTAAAAAAAGCCAGTCACAAAAGAATTAAACACTGGACATTTCCATTGATAAGTTCAAAAGCAAGCAAAATCTAACTATAGTGACAGCAGCCAGGATAGTGGTTACCTTTAGAGAAAAGGGAAGGGGTAATGACCAGAAAGGGTCATAAGAAGGGTTGCCACATAAAATATAAGATGCTCAGTTAAATTTGAATTTCAGATAAAGAACAAGTCATCTTTTAGTATAAGTAGGTCCCAGGGAATATCTAGGATATGTATTTTTATTTGCTAACTCTGGCAACCGTGTTAAGAGAGATGCTTTTGGAATACTGGTAATATTCTATTTCTTGATGTTCATCCTGTGATCATCCATTGTGCATTTTTCTGTACATGTGTTGTACTTCACAATAAAAAAAAGTTAAAAAAAAAAGCAAAAGTACACCCAGTGCAGCCAGCAGATTTTAAAATATCTCATCCAACCACTGTTTTTCCTTCCCACTCTTAAACACTGCATGTGAGAGCTGGGAAACTTCTGCAGGAGGTGGGCATCTGTAATCTGAAGTGACGCTGGGCGAAAGCTGTGGGCTCTACTTTCAATTTTTATTAAACTTACTTTTACACAGCATGCTTCTTTCCTTCTGGAATCTTTTTTCATGCCCTGCCTGTCAGAGGTCTTTCTTATTTGTGTGGCTGGCTTAACCTTACCACAGGGCAGTGCTAGGCTAGAAGGCCAGCCTCTACCCTATCAGCCAAGAAATACACAAACCACTGTTCAAGAAGCAAGTTGGACTAACCAGCCGACCTGTGGGGGTCAGAAGCCAGTGGTCTGAAGCCAGGAAGAAAACTGGTACTTGGAGGCCGACAACTTGGACATAGACACTGTTCAGACTCCATAAAATCGAACGCTTCAATCTGCTGCCTGTTTTCCAAATTTATCAGAGGTTTACACAAACACCTTGAGTGGCTCCATCTAGTTCCCTCCCACCAGTAGATTACTTACCTTCTTCCTACAGACACAACGGACATTCCAAGTAAAAAGTAGTGACCAGTGCAAACAAAAGCCTGAATCATTTTTCTGCTGTTGTTTAAATAAGGGGCTATTTACTGGCAAAAGTTCTTTCCTGCTCAGGGTTTTTTGTGTTGTTATGGTGTTTTGTAACTTCATCTTGTTTTGAAATGAACCCCTCCCAATTCTAAATAAAGAAAAGAACTTTAAGTTTGGGTGCTTCTCTCTATAAAGTTTAGGATCCAACTTTATAGGCTGGTGGAACCCTCACCTATCTGCCCCCACCAGCCTCCAGTGTGCCAGATTTCTTCACTTTAATAACAGAAACTTCCTCTAATTAAGGATAATAATTAGGTTCCTGGGCTGTGGAGACAAGTTGCCTGGAAGAAACCCAGCTTCACCACTGAGATTGTGTAGCTCTGGCCAATGAGTGACTCATCGCTCTGTGCCTCAGTTTCCTCAACTGTAAAATGGGAATAAAAATACTACCTAACACAAAGGGCTGTTGGGAGCATCAAACGCCGTGTAAGGCGATGAAAGCACAGCGCCTGGCACACCTTAAACACTCAACGACGGTTGTAATCATCATCACTACCATCGGCTACCTCTGAGGGTCCTGCCACCTCTAAGGACTCTACTTATGTATCTCATGTAGGAAAAGCATCCAGATGCAGTTTGAGAGATACAGGGAAGGGGAGGCCCAGAACAAGGGTTCCACCAGCCTATAAAGTTTGGTCGAAGTTGTGCCCAATTCACTTAGAAGGCGAAGCAGAGGCAGGAGGCCTCCAGTAGGGTCTAGGAGGAGACCACGCCTGGACCCCACACTCCGGCCGGGACTTCTGACCCTGGGCGCCCTCACTACTCACGTTGCGCTTGAAGCTGTGGCCAGGCAGAAACGGCAGGGCCATGGCTCTGAGCGGCCAGGGCTCAAGGGTCCCGGAGGAAAGGGACCGTCAGGCAGCGGCCGCCCCTCGGCCGCGTCGTTTGACCCCCCTCGTTACTTAGAGACGAGAGGCGGCGTCACCGAAGGAGGAGGGGCTGCGGCGGGCCGGGGGCTCTGGGCGGGGCCGGGGAGGGGCGGGGCCAGGCGGGAAGCTCCCCGCGCGCACCTCCTCCCCCGCCCACCCCGGCTCAACTCCGCCGGCACGCACAGGTCCCCCGAGGCTTTTCTTTCCACACGCATTGTGCACACACAAAGACTGGCAACTGCACCATTCCCCGCCCCCGCCGCTTTCTAGTTTAACCCCTTTCTAGAGCTCAAAGCCTTTCCGGTACTTAAAGCTCCTGCGATTCTTGCCACAACAGTTTTTGCCATTTGGTTATTAAATTTAGTTCAAACAGACAGAAAAGTGCAAAAAAGAATATGACACCCGCGTGCTCGTGCTCACAGAAATGTAACGCTAGTTAATGTTACATTTACATCAGCCTTTATTTTGTAATTAAAACGTTCGAGATGAAGCCAAAGCCACACACACCCCATCTGTCTTCGCCCCTCCCCATGAAAACCCATTCAGCGGTAACCACCATCCTCAGTCCTTCCCCTGTACATTTTTATATTTGAAATAAATATTTGTAAAGTGCTCGTTCCTGGCCCAATCAGGGTGGCCAGGGTGTGGTCAGTTGGCACAAAACGCGGCCCCTGTCACCCAAGATGCCAAGGCCAAGAGCCTCCTCGATTCCTCTCCCCCACACCTACAGCTAGTCCCTCCCTGAGTCCTACTGGTTGGACACGCTGGCATCACTTAGTCACCACCTCCTCTCTCTCAGTTGAGGCCCCATTATTTCTTGCCTGGTTTTCTTTCAAAAAAAAAACCAACAAACAACTAAATGATCTTGCCTCCAGAGCCATCCTATTACAATTCGTGATGCACCTGTTACTCTTCTGCTTCAATATTCTTCTAGCCTTTCCGCCCGCCGCCTTCAGGATGCAAACTCCTTAGCGTGGTCAGAGATTATGTCGGGGGGGCCTGCCAACGCCCTCCATCCCTGTCTTTGCCCCCCGCCTCTACTCCAGCTCTGAAAAACCACTGCCAGTTTCCAAACCAGACTCTACAGTGTGTTCCCTCTGGGATTTTGCAAATGTCGCTATCTGCTAGAAACACCCTTCCTTCCTATCTTTCACCTGGGTAACCCCTTCTGGTCTTTCAGGACTTGGTTCAGTGTAGGAAAGAGGCATGGAAGTCTTTGCCATTTCTGGAAAATGTTCCTTCACCTTCTCCACTCCCCCATCTGTATTAGATGCTCATTCTAATTGTGGCTTTCCCGGTACTGCGTTGTAATCATGCGTTTACTTGACTCTCTTCAGATGCCCCCAAATTCCTCCAGAGCAGAGACTTTATCTCCTTTTTTATTCGTAAACAGCATACATTATTCTTTTCTGTGTTTATAAATTTTACACTATAAATTTATGCTGCCTGCTTTTTTCACCTAAAATTTTGGTTTTGAGATTTCTACATGTTAACACGTAGATATATTTCATTCATTTTAAACATTGTATGATTACACCACAAATTACTGATCCATCTTTTGTCATCTGATGATGACAATTAGGTTGTTTCCAGTTTTTCACTAGTTATCGACAATGCTGCAGTGCACAATCCTCTCCTGTACTTTGGAGATTTTCTAGGCTACATACCCAAAGGTGGAATTGTTCACACTTTCGACTTTATTAGATCTTGCTAACCAACTCCAGAATCGTTGAACCAATTAAGAAAGTTCCCTTTCCCCTTCATCCTTTCAACAATGGGTATTATCAAATTGTATAATTTTGAGCAATCATCTGAAAAAATGTGAAATGGTATACCATTCTTATTTTAATTTGTTTCTCTCTAATTCCTAGCGCAATTGGTCATCTTTCCACATCTTGTTACCGTCTTCTGTGACTCATCTATTCATATCCTTTGCTGATTTTTCTATTTGATCATTTGTAATTTTTTAAATATATTCTGGATACTAATCCTCAGCACAGCAAATATCTTCTCATCATTTGTGGTTTGTCTTTTAATTCCATTTATAGAGTTATTCATTGTACATGAATGTGTCCTTTTACTCTACTCAAATAGATCATTCTTTTCCATTATGATTTGTGCATTGTATGGGAATTCAAAAAATTCTGTAGAACAAAATTATTCTCCTACACATTCTTACAAATATTTTCAAATATTTCTTTTTTGATACTTTTTAAATTGAAATAATTTCAAACCAATAGAAAAGTTGCAGGAATAGTACAAAGAACTCCTGTTTACCCTTCACCCAGATTCCACCAATTGTTTTATATTTCACCATAGTTGTTTTATCATTCCCTTTATATATACAATTTTTTCCATTTTAGAGTAAATAGCAGACATCATGCCCCTTTACCCCCTAAATATTTTAGTATATATTTCTTAATAACAAGGACATTCTCTTACATAACTGAAGCATATAATAATCAAAATCATAAAATTAGTATTAATAAATACTATTTTCCAATCTAAAATACATATTCAAATTGAGTTAATTGTTCCAAAAATATCCTTTTTAGCAAAAAAATTAATTTAAAAAAATCTGGCCCAGAATCTGATCCAACATCACACAATAGTTGTCACGTCGCTTTAATCTCTTTTTTTTTTGCTGAGGAAGATTCATCCTGAGCTAACGACCACTGCCAATCTTCTTCTTTTTTCTTGAGGAAGATTCCCCCTGAGCTAACATCTGTGCCAGCCTTCCTCTATATTGTCTGTGGGTCGCCACCACAGCATGGCTGCTGATGAGTAGTGTAGGTCCACACCCAGAACCAAACCCGTGCAGAAGGGGAGAGCACAGAACTTAACCACTAGGCCAGGGGGCCAGCCCCTATTCACCTTTAATCTGAAAGGATTCTTCCATCTTTCTTGTCTTTCCTGACCTTGATATTGTTGAAGAGAATAGGCCAGATATTTGGTAGAAGTTTCTTCAATTTAGGTTTGACCACTATTTCCTCATGAGTAAATCCACGGCTTTTTGTTTATGGCTTTTTGGCAGGTACACCACAAGAGGAATGCTGTGTCCTTCTCATTCATCAAAGAAACACGTACATAATGTGTATTTCAACCATGAATGGTGAGGTTAACTTTGATCACCTGGTTAAGGTGGTGTGTGCCAAGTTTCTCCACTGTAAAGCTACTGTTTTTCCTTTCCAATTAATAAGAATTTTGTGAGGAGATACTTTGAGACTATATAAATACCAAGTTCCTCATTAAACTACTAGTGTCAATTGAGGATTTTGCCCAAACAATTTATTACCATTATGGTTGCCAAATGGTGATTTCTTAACTCCATCATTCCTTCTACATATATTAGTTGGCATTCTACTTCAAGGACGTACTTTTCCTCCCTCTCCATTTATTTATTTATTCATTCATTTATATCAGAATGGTCTACAGGTTCTTATTTTATTCAGTGGTTTATAATCTCTTACTATTATTATCTATTTTGAAGCTAAAAGTGTCCCACATTTGGTCAGTGAGAGTCCTTCTAAGTTTACTCCTCTGTCTTTTTGATTATCCCCACCATTTTTCAAGCACTTCCTTGTGCTGTCACTACAAGATATTCAAGATATCTATCGATATAGGTAGATGTAGCTATGCACATATAGTTATATCTCTTTCCATTTCTATCTATAGATAGATAGATACAGATATAGGTATATGTAGTAATAGATATATTAAAACCCATGAGTTTATACTGGTATGTCCAATTCCAATAACACAATAGAGTACATGTTCAAACTCCACTTTCCACATCTGTAATGCTCTTCTCAAATAGTAACAAACCTGAATCCAATTACCCTGAAAATATTTACTTATTTGTTCAATACTAAAAGACCCCTGAAGCAGTTTCAGAATATGTAACTCATGTCGTTGTAAAAAACAAACCTACTAACTAGAGTTCAATGTTTGTTTTCAGGTTTTTTTCTTTAGTCCTAATATATTTAGTCAAAATATTGTGTTTCAAAATGACTGATTTGTTTCCTCTCTCCCCTCCTCCTCTTCCTGTTTGGAGCATTTATGTTAGTTAAGTTACTCATTTGAAAATCAGTCTGGTTCATTGTGTTCCCATGTGTATTCCACATTAAGTTTTTGCTCTGTCCTTCTCTGTTTCTTCTTTGTCTTTCTTATTTTGTAGCTGTGTTTCTCCCTTTTTCATTTGATTAATTTAGCTAGTGGTTTATATGTTTTGTTACTTTTTTCAAAGCACCGGAATTTTGCTTTATTACTTTGACCTACTATTTTCTATTCCTAATCTTCATTATTTTTCTACTTTATTCTTTTATTTTTATTGCTATAAGTGTTTAAGGCTATGAATTTTCCTCTGATCTCTACTTTAAATGTATCCAATAGTCCCTGACATGTAGTGTTTTCATTACTTGTTTGTTTAGGAATTTTTTTAGATATCCTGTAATTTTGGCTTATGTTTTCCCTTTCACTCAAGAGTTGTTTAATAGAAGATTTTTTAAATTTCTAGTTGGAGAGCTTTTGGGTTTTTTTTAAATTCTAGTTTTATTGCACTGTGATAAGAAAGTATTGTTTGTAATATTTCCACTATATGGAACTTATTAATGCTTTCTTTGTGACCTAATATTTGATCAATTTTTGTGACTATTTCATGTGCAATTGAGAAGGAAGGTGTACTCTCTATTTTTAGGTTCTAAAGTTCAGTATAGATCAACGAGATCTAGCTTATTAATTATGCTGTTTACTTCTTCGATATCCTTACTTGTATTTCTGCCACTTGATCTCTTCTGCACTGGGAGTGGCGTGTTCAAGTCTCCTATTAGCAATGTGTTTCTATCTGTATCTCCTTGCATCTGTAGTTTCTGCTTTTTAAAGATGGTTATTTGGATAGATTTTCATAACTGTTATATATATATTTCATATAATGTTATACATTATGAAATTGGCTTTAACCATTATAAGGTATCCTTTTTTGTCATGTTGTCACCAACCAGGTGCCT